CGTCTTGATGAGATGAGTAATATGATGAAATAGTTGTTTGGACAACTGGGCATGATGGGTACAACTAACCAACCACCTATAGCAAATACTCAAAGAAATGTTCAAATTACTCCTGATGTAGTGCTCACTCCTGACAGAAAATTTGAGGAGTTAGAGGAGCCAATACTGATTACCCCTAGAGAAGGTGAAATGGTCAGCAAAGCTCAAATTCAAAATCTTATCAGTCAAAAAGTGAAAGCAGTTATTGCTTCTGAAGCTGCTGAAGCTTTAGTTGGGAAAGGTCGTCTGTATCCAATGGAATATGTCCAAGAAAAGTATCCAAAGGGGTATATAATGCCAAAATTTAATTTGTTTGATGGTACTGCAAATCCTCGTCAACATCTGGCACAATTCAAAGCGACCTGCGAAAATACAGGAGGAAATGATGCTCTATTACTACGACAATTTATCAGTAGTTTAACAGGTACAGCTTTTGAATGGTATGCTGAGTTACCAAATGACTCAGTGAGAACATTTGACGAATTAGAGACGATGTTCATCAAAAGATTTGTCAGTGAAATGAAGAAGGTGACTGTCGCTGATCTCGCTCTTGAGAAAAGGAAAAGAGAGGAATCAGTCACCAAGTACATTACCAGGTGGAGAAATCTCAGCATGAAATGCGAGCAACAACTCACTGAGAAGCATGCTGTCGAGCTATTAATGGGAAATATAGATGATTATATGGCTCCATATCTGGCGATGGCTACAATCAATACATTTTAGGAGTTACTTGATCGTGTAGCCAAGTTCGAAAGGTTACCCAGGCCTAGAAGTGCCAGCTTCAACTATAATAATAATCCATCAGGGAAAGGGAAACAGATCAAAATATTTGATCAAAAAAGGAGTGAGGTGAATGCTACATTCCCATCTTCCTTGGAGAAAAAAAGAAAAAGAAGATTCAATGAATTCACCGAAGATATTGAAACAAACAAGAGAAAGACAAATACCTCCTACTTTACAGGAGAAAATTAACAAGCTGTATTCTTTCACAAAGGAGTGTACGGGAAAGATTTTTAGGCAAGCCTTAAAAATCGGTCTTCAATTGCCAGAATCTCGACGACCAGCACAGGCTGACATGACTGATGATCCGAATTACTGTCCATATCATAGGATCATAAGCCACCCAATCGAAGACTGTTTCATATTCAAAGATTGGGTCGAAAGGAATTATCAGAATGGTGAACTTACACTTTCTAATATTGTCCTTATCAATCCTAAGAGGGAGAAAACCAATATTATCTCCTTTACTCCCTGTCAAAGCACAAAGAATGAGAAAGGGAAAGCACCCCAGGAAGATGAAGGTGGTTGGGAGACCTTTATCTAAAAAAAAAACTAAACAAATGATGAATGTCTTACTGGCCATTGAAGGCATTCGTCGTAAGAGTGCATTAGAATTAGAAGTTGATCCAAAACTTCTTTTTTCGAAAAACCGAGTGACAGGAGGGCCCAGTTCGAGTAAGAAGAAACCTTCAAAATATTTCAAAGACCAAAATGAAAAGCGTAAGCCTGGATCAAAATCTCAAAAAGAAAAGAAGAAGAGATTAAGAAAGCAGAATACTGTAATTCAAAAATACATCGACTCCATCGATGAATATCAACAACCTCTAAGGCGTCCTCTCAAGTTAGAGGAGTATATGACTAATTTGTTTCTTGACGCGGAGTCAGAAAAGGAAGAGAGCATTCCAATTGAGACTTGCCGATTTATAAATCAACGAGGTGGAAGGGCTGCAAGAGGACGCAATGTACCTCTTGCTATCTACAAAGTTGATGTGAAAATGCCTTATAAGGAAATACATCGTACACCAGCACCTTTTACTGATTCAGATGAAGAATTATATTTTCCCGATGAAGAGAATGATTACAAGGGAAAGAACATGCCTAAAGAAAAATGTCCAAAACTCGGAAGCGGCTCAGACTCTGAGGAAGTTTATGATACAAAAATTTTAAATAATTCTCAAGCTGAAGCTAGTTCATCTTCAGAGATGACACAAATCCAGCTAAGAAGTGAAAAGAAGGTTCATCCACCTCAAAAGAAAATAAAGGATAATGAGAAGAATATTCAACTCAATGATGCTGTTATTCCACAAGAGCTTCCTAAAACCAAGGTTGCTAGTGCAAATGTGGATTACAACATATTATCACATCTCCGTAAATTACCTGCACTGTTGAGTGTCTACGATGCCCTTCTGATGTCTAAGAATCTTCGGGAAACACTCATTAAATCTTTACAAAATCCTGAGCAATATGAGATATTCTTTGATGAGCAAAATTTGAAAGAAGCTTTACATACGCAGAATATTGCTACAATCACTTTCTGTGATAGTGATATGCTCCTGGAAACTGTAGATCATAATCGACCATTATATGTTACAGCAGAGAGTAACAATATTGAAATAAATGGAATTTTGATTGATCCAGGTTCTTCTGTTAATCTAATGAGTCTCAAAACGCTCAAAGGATTGACCCTAGATGTACAATATTTGAACAAAAGCACAGTGTTTCTACAAGGATTCAATGAACAAGGGCAAAGAACCCTGGGATCTTTAGTTTTGCCTTTGAACTTTGGGGAACTTAATACAGAGGCAACATTTCATATTATTGATGCCAACATATCTTACAAAGCACTTCTTGGAAGACCATGGCTCCACGAGTATGGTATAGTGCCTTCAACACTTTATCAATATATGAAATACATTCGAGATAATGAAGAATATCGCATTGATGGTGATTAACAACCATTCTTGGTGCACGAAATCAAAATCTACAATGATGCTAAATACTTTATAGCTCAAAAGTCAAAAGGCAATGAGCTTCCAAAAATTCAGTCTCTTACACTAGACAAGAAAAGGCTAAAAGATAAAAATAAGAATCAATCAAAACAAATTTGCTCAGTGCCTCATCTCGGTAGTGATTCCGAAGAGGATGATATCTCTACAACTTTCAAACCCTTGATCATAGGGAAAAGAAAGAATGAACTATCAGCTGTCCCTTTTGATTACGAAGCTAATCACACAAACAAGGTACGGTGTTCAAGTAAACCAACCATCGAAGGAGAAGAAGAATTTGTGTATCATCCCAATGGTACTACAGAATCTCAAGAGGAAGGGGACCCACGACCCAATTCCATATCTAAGAAATTGCAGAAAGTATCAATTTCAATGATAAGGGTGTTTGAAGAACAAATATTTACAGATATCATTAAAATAGTGCCTATGCCAACGGGACATTCCAAAACATTAACTTCCTCACCAAATAGAAACATAAAAATGTTAAAAACTTTTTATGTCCCTCCCAAAAGAGGTCTCAATGAGCGTGGATCCATTTTCTATGAATCAAGAGTAATACCACATCACATTACTCATGAAATAGAAAATGAAAATGAATGAGATTATGAAGATATGTGGATAATCATTCCTCAATATCCTTCACCATTATGAAAAAAGCTAATATAAAGAAGAATATTTTTCGTACAAACACGCAAGAAAGCTCGTTATTTCAGAGAACTCTGGCACAAAGACCTGTTGGTCATGGTTTGTCAACAACATGGGGTCTTGGATATGCTCGACATTCACATCTTACACGAGCATCATCCTATCATTATCTGGAGTGCTCTCAACATCCACGTCTTATATATACAACCTCCTACAATGTTATATACAAGGAGGATAGATTGTCGGAGTCTGAAAATCAAATTGAAGATCTAATAGTAGATCTAAAAGAAGCCCTAAAAGAATTCAAAGAAGGTGGCCAAGCTACTATGGACGAGCTCAAAGAAATAAACATGGGTACTGAAGAAGATCCAAAATCACATTCATCATCTCTAATCTCTCGCAAGACATGGCAGAGGAGCTAAGGATGTTACTTCTCGAATATAAAGACTGTTTCGCATGGAACTATACTGAAATGTTTGGTTTATCACCAGAGGTAGCAGTGCATAAACTCTCTATCGATACAAAAATACCGCTTGTTAAGCAAGCACCCAGGCGAATGCGACTTGAAATTGAAGAACAAGTCATTGCTGAAATCAAGAAGCTTATTGAAGCTGATTTTATTCGAGAAGAGAAATATGCTAACTAGATCGCTAATATTGTTCCAGTGAAGAAGAAGAATGGTCAAATTCGTGTCTGTATAGACTACCGGGATTTGAACAAAGCATGCCCAAAAGATGATTTTCCACTGCCCGATGCAGAACTTATGGTCGATAACACATCGAATCATGACATATTCTCATTCATGGATGGATCATCAGGCTATAATCAAATTAAAATAGATCCGGAGGATGAAAAACATACCTCATTTTAAACTCCGATTTGGCATATATTGCTACAAATTGATGCCATTCAGTTTGAAGAATGCTGGAGCTACTTATCAAAGAGCGATGACTCGAATCTTTGATGATCTTATCCATACGCATGTAGAATGTTATGTGGATGATTTGGTTGTAAAAAGCAAAAATCAACATGAACATATAAATGATCTCAAAATTGTATTCGAAAGAATTCGAAAATTAATTTGAAAATGAATCCGCTTAAATGCACTTTTGTATTGCCATCCGGTAAATTTCTCGAATTTATTGTACGCCATAGAGGGATTGAAATTGATCCCGATAAAATTCAAGCAATAGTGGAAATGCCACCTCAAAAACTCTAAGACAACTTCGTTCATTACAAGGAAGATTGACATATATCAGAAGATTTATATCTAATCTCTCTGGTAGATGCCAACCTTTTTCACGATTGATGAAGAAAGATACTCCTTTCGTGTGGGACGATGCTTGTCAGGAGGCATTTAATAGTATAAAACAATATCTATTGAATCCTCCAATCTTTGTTGCCCCAATCTCAGGGAAACCCCTAATCCTATATACAGCTGCTCTTGAAGAATCACTCGGAGCATTGCTAGCACAAACAAATGAAGATGGCAAAGAAAATGCCCTTTATTATATCAGCCGACGATTAATAGGAGCAGAATCTAAATATTCACCAATTGAAAAGCAATGCCTAGCATTGATCTTTGCCACTCAAAAACTACGGCATTATATGTTATCCCGTAAAATCACTTTAATATCTAAAGTTGATCCATTAAAATTTATAATGACTAGACCCACTCTCACGGGTCGTCTAGCTAAATGGGCTGTCTTGCTAATGTAATTTGACATAATATATATGCCACAAAAAGCAGTGAAAGGACAAGCTCTAGCTGATTTTCTAGCAACACATCCTCTGCCTGCAGATTCTCCACTCAATGATGAATTACCAGATGAGCAAACATTTGAAGCGAAAGAAAAAGAAAATCTGCAAGAATGGGAGCTCCATTTCGATGGAGCTTCATCAATAAAACCATCTAAGCCACCTAAATTTCCAACAATTCAAGTGGGTATTGGCCTTATATTCATTACACCGCAAAAAGGAATACTCCGATATTCCTACAACTTAACAGAGCCTCGCACTAATAATGAGGCTGAATACGAAGCCTTAATTGCGGGCCTTGAATTGGAGGTTAATATGAAGATTGAGAAGATCCATATATATGGAGATTCTCAACTCATAATCAAACAAATAATATGGGCTTTCAAAATAAATAACCTTGAATTAATCTCTTATCACGCGTATGATTTAAAACTCCTACGACAAATTCCTGAGGTAACTCTCACAAGGATTATACGTAGTGAAAATGGTAAAGCCGATGCGCTAGCAAAGCTAGCTAAAGAACTAGCAAATCCA